ACCTAGGGAGGATTTTATTTGGGGTTTATCTTTTAACAATTCGACAGAGACACAACTTTAAAATTTGATTTAATTCGGTTTTATCGGGGGGGAATGTATTTATGTTTTGTTTTAAATATGTTGTGCGCCGCCCTGAGTCCCGTTGGGAGAAGGGCGGCATATAAATTAAATTTATTATTATTATTATTATTATTATATATCAATACATTATGACATCCTAGGTTCTTGGGAAGAACTTGATGCATATGAAGGCCAACACCAGCTAAAAATCAGCTGTGATTTCATATTTTTGTGCTGTTGCTGCTGCTGCTACTGATGATGTCGGAGTTCCTGGACATCTGATGACAAATGGGACATAGAACTCAGGACTCTTTGTTGGCCAAACAGCCAGGGCCAGAAAGCTGGAAGAAAAAGTTGTTTTCTCAAATACTTCTCATGGCAAATAGACAGTCTGAAAACAAATAACGATGTGTCATTGAAAATCAAATCCAGCAAGGAGGACAATTTTTAAAAAATATTGTAAGCCACCTGGAGTTACCTAAGTATAAGTTGTGTGGTTATATAAATATTGTTTAATAAATAATAAATAAATAAATACCTCTAACACCATTACACAGCAATACCTGCCTATCCCAGGTCTTTGGGAAGGACTTGATAGGTACATAAAAATGTCAAACCCAGGTTAAACATCTGCTGACTGTGCAATCAATAGTAATAATAATAATAATAATAATAATAATAATAATAATAATAATAATAATAATAATAATAATAATAACAACAACAACAACAGCTCTGCTCCTCCTGCTGACGTCCTCTGCCCCTCTTCCTTACTGGAAGAGATACAGGGCTTCCTTCTGGGTAAGTTAGGAGTGGACGACTTTTCAGAACAGGATTCTACTCGAGTGTCAAATGATATATTGGAGCCCATCCTCCAAAAGACACCTGGAGCAAGAACCAAAACTAAATTTGATTAAAATATAATTGAAATCAAATAACTTCAATGCAATTAATAGGATTATTCTATCTGTACTTAAGAATGCTTTCATCTATCAGATGGAAAGTAACAATTTAATAATCATTTTTGAAGGACTAAAGGAATTGCCCACCACACTTTGCAGGGTGGAGATACTCAAGAGATTTTTGCAAATTGAGGATTAGGCCACCCTACCCCAGATCACAAATCAGCAGACATCCCTTACAACCCTCCTCCCCTGCTGTCATGAATCACTGTATCTAGGAAGAGCTTTGGGGAAAGCACACAACTACAGAAATATTTTATTTGCAATTTTAATTGGCTTATCAGAGACAAAGAAATGATGACAGAGTTAGAAAAGGGAATATTCATCCTCCCTCTTTTTCTCAACCACTCAGCCTATATCGTCTCCTGGGATGTTTTCAGTTGAGCCGCATGGAAATCAGCTGCTTTAAAACAAAGAGATTTTCATTCTTTGAAATCAATCTTACATCAAGTATTATTCCCTCCCCTCCTTATCATTCCACCCACCCTGTAGCTGAAGCAATGCTGACCTAGCACAAAGCCTTTTCCATATGGTAGATTGGTATATAAAGGGTCCCCTCCATCCCTCCTCCCCTTTATATTTATACATATATTACAAAAAAAAAATCTTCACCCCCTGTTCTTTTTGTTTTCAATCTTATTCACAAAAGTTTACAAAATAATATTGAAATTAAGTTCTTGAATTGAAATCCAGTCTATACTGGCTAACTGACATGGTTAATGGATTCAAAGTTTCATACCCCCCACCCTTCGATTGTAATTGTTTTTCCTGATTCTCAAGGCTGAGAAAGTTGCCTCTATTTGTATCACATTTGCTTCCTTGGGAAAGTACTGCAGGAGGCAAATTCTTCAGGTCACAAGAGGGAACAACCTAAACCAGTTCTAAGAGACACCACTATGTGTAGGTGTGTGTCTCTTTCCATAGAGGTTTCCGGAAAAACATGAAGGCACCCCTCGTCTGTACACGACTCGTGTTTCATATAACCATTGTCCGACGGTCTCCTCAGTATCGACGGACCTTCTCCGTCTCTACAAAACCTTAAAGTTCGAACTACAAAAGGTTCTCAGGTTGTCTGCCTGTCTTTTCAGCAACTTTTGTTTCAGTAAAAATAGATTATCTTGGATTAAAAGATAATATGTTTGGCCAAGCAAACTCATGGTTTGAGTGGAAAAGGGACAACTTTTCCTATCCATCTTCCATATTCATGGTTTTCATACTTCAGTATTTTTCCCTTTTTATCTGTATTTGGTAATTTTTAAAGAAATTCACCAGATATATTTATCCACCCTTCTCGCAGAGGAAAAAACCCGCAACCTTCACGAGTCCAGTGATGTTGCTTGTACCTCCATGGCTAGGAGTGTCTCACTCTTTCTCTCTTGATCCCACTGTTTGATAAAGGTTGGATATACTACACGAACCGAAGATGAGGCTCTTTTCCATGGCATGCAGATTCCCTGGTTTCTAGATTGAAATTTGAAAGAACTTAAACCATAGTTGCCTATGAGGCTTAAAGATAGCATCAACATGCAGAGGAACAATACCATCAGGGCCCCCTGCCTGCTTTCTAAGTACTGGTATTGAGCCTCTTTAGTCCTTGCATTGACACAGGCAACCTTGGTCTGCCATTTTGCAAATGCTATATGAAGACAGGCCCAGTATTCTGTATCATGGTGCAATCTTGTGATGTTATAGATGTGGGTACCTGTTGGAATACGGGCTACATTTGTTAAGTCCAAGCCGGGGTTGAAACTGGACCAAGTGAGATTAGATGAAATGGTATTGATATGAGGCTTCCATGAAACCAGGATATTGTAAGTCTGGACTTCCTCAATGATCAGCTCTAGCGTGTCTTCACTAAAAGGAAAAGAACTGTTGACTATTAGGCTGATGCTTCTAGTGTCGGCACCTATGAGATTTTGAGCCATGCACGTATAGAGGCCTGCCTCTCGTACTGTGACCTTGCGAATCTCCATTGTCCCCTCAGAGTCCACTTTATACTTTCCATCTTCTGAGAATGGCAATAGCTTAAGGCCTGATGGTATGACCCAGTAGATCTCTGGTTCTGGTTCTGCTAAAGCCCTGCAATGAAGAGAGATGTCTTCACCATCTACTACCTCTAAATAAGAAGGGAAGCTTTTGTCAGAGATGAGGGGTAAACATCTATCCGTCATTTCTCTGAAGGGGACATCACGTATATGTTTTCTTTTTAGGTCTGGAGGTTCAGCACACAATGTGGATTGAGGCTCAATAAAGCGTATGTGGTTCTCAGTACTATTGACCCAGCGGATGACACAATCACAGTGGAGGGGATTGCTGTGGATGCTTATCTCTTGCAGACTGGGGAGGGACTCTAGTGTTTGCTTATGCAAAGCACTTAGAGCATTGTTGTTGAGCATGAGAGTTTCCATCTGGGGGAGATGATGGAAAGCACTGGGATGAATATAGGATAGTTTAGGGTTGTTGGTCACATCTAATTTTGTTAATTCAGGCAAGTTGATCAAGGCAAATTTGTCAATAGAAACCAGTTCTTCCATATTGTTGAGTCCCAGTTCCTTGAGGTGTAGCATGTTTGTGAAGTCACTCTGCTTAATCCTCTCAAGTGGATTTTTATTCAGATCCAGGAACTTAAGTCCAGGAACTTGCTGCAATGCTCGCTTGGGAACACTGATCAGCTTGTTATCATAGAAAGACAGACTCTCCAGATTTTTTAAGCCTACAAGAGCATAATCTGAAATCTCTCTCAGGTTCATTCCAGCCAGAACCAAACTTCTCAAATTTGATAAAGCCCTGAAGTTCATATCCAGAATGGCATCTACTTTGTTGCCACCAATCATTAGGATCTCCAGACTGGGTAGTACTTGGAACCAACGACTGTCAATTGTCCTTAAGAAGTTGGAGTTGAGATGGAGTCGAAAGAGATTTCCAAGACCTAAGAAGGCTTGGGGAGAAATCCTGCGTATTTGATTGTGATTAAGATAAAGTTCCTGAAGATTAGCCAGGTTTGAGAAGCTGTTATCGGGAAGTTCAGCCAGCTGGTTTTCTTCCAAGTGAAGACTCAGCAATTGAGGCATATTTTTCAGACCAAAGTCCCAAATGTCTGAGAAACTGTTCTGTGATAAATCTAGCTCTGTCAGGTTTTTCAGATAGCCCAGTTCACTCTGCTCGACCTTGACAATATTGTTGCTTTGCAAGAGAAGAATCTGTGTCCCCTCTGGCAATCTTTCAGGCACTGTGGAGATAAACAAATCATTGCAGTCAACTGTGGCTGCTTCCCTGTACACAGACCTGGGAGTATACCATGGTCTGATCTGGCAGACACACTGCAATGGACATTTGACTTTCCATGGCACAACAAGAATAGCAGTGGTGGTTGCCATACAGATGAGAAGCAAGTTCAATTGGAAGTGTCTCATTTTCAATGGGCAAGTGCAACTTCCATTCAAAGTAAATACTTTCACAGGACACATCTGGAATTCAACATGAAGGCAAGTGGAAATAGCCACTGCCTTGTCACACTGACTCCTTCAAGAATCTCTGCGGTTGATGCAGGTAGTTTTATGCTAAAGGTAAGAAGCTTTGTCAGCTGAAGAGTTCATAATGGAAGGAGCCGTAGTAGTCCCCTCTCTAATCAGAAGTTTGGCTATTTCTCTTCCATAAACAATTCCTTTCTTCTTTTGCTTGTAACGTTGTTTTTTCTTTACAGCTTTAACTGAAAGAGATTGGGAAAAGAGAATGTTATAAGAAAAATGGAAATATACATGTAACAACACATGAAAATCAAAACTTAGACCCCATTCTGGAGGTAGCATGAAGTTATAAAGTACATTTTGATTTAGGGTAGAGTTACTTAGACTCTTAAACTCAGGATTCACATGGAGTTTTGGTACACATTTTTGTGAAACCTGATTGAATTGGTTTGACTAAAGTAGGACAGTAAAATGGTGGTAATAGAAATAAGGACACCATTGGACCAATAAAACCATAATTGCTCATCTTTTTACAGGAGTTTATCTGCTCGACCAGCAAGACTATTTTCTCAGAAAAGCCATACTGTTTATGCCACTCTTGTCATAAATTTAAAAATATCCTTTCTCTTTCAGAAACACATAGACACATATCTTTTTCTAAATACTAATTGCTAAAAAGGGCTCTATTATTAGTCATGAGTTAGGTATCATATAGATAATCCTCAATTTGCAACCATTTGTTTAGCAACCATTCAAAGTTACAATGACACTGACTTACGACCAGTTCTCACACTTAATGATTGTTGCAGCATCCCCACTGTTATGTGATCAAAATTCAGGTGTTTGGCAACAGGCATGTATTTATGACAATTATAGTTACCTAGGGTCATGTGATCATCATTTGTGACCTTTCCCACTGGCTTCTGGCAAGTAGTCAATGGAGGAAGCCACAGAATAATAGAATAACAGAGTTGGAAGAGACCTTGGAGGTCTTCTAGTCCAACCCCTGCTCAGGCATGAAACCCTATACCATTTCAGACAAATGGTTGTTCAATCTCTTCTTAAAAACTTCCATTGTTGCAGCACCCACAACCTCTGGAGGCAAGTAGTTCCACTGATTAATTGTTCTAACTGTCAGGAAACGTCTCCTTATTTATAGGTTGCTTCTCTCCTTGATTATTTTCCACCAGCTCCCCTTGTCCTGCCCTCAGGTGCTTTGGAAAATAGTTTGACTCCTTCTTCTTTGTGGCAATCCCTTAGATATTGGAACACTGCTATCATGTCACCCCTAGTCCTTCTTTTCATTGAACTAGACATACCCAATTTCAGCAACTGTTCTTTATATGTTTTAGCCTACAGTCCCTAATATCTTTATTGCTCTTCTTTCTAGAGTCCCAACATCTTTTTTATATCATGGTGACCAAAACTGGATGCAGTATTCCAGGTGTGGTCTTACCAAGGCATTATAAAGTGATATTAACAGTTCATCTTAATTCTATCCCTAATGTAGCCTAGGACTGTGTTGGCTTTTTTGGCAGCTGCAGCATACTGCTGGCTCATATTTGATTGCCCACTAGGATTCTAAAACTCCTCTCACAATTACCACTATTACCACCTATAACAGGGCTTTTCAACCAGTGGTACGGGTACCACCTGTGGTACATTGGCACCTGGCAGGTGGTACGCGACTATCCTAGAAAAGTGGTAGCGGGGGAGGGTAATGAGCTGAACCGGTGGCAGCACCGCACAATCCTGAGCAAGAGATGGCTGGAGCTGCAGGGCTGTCAGGGCTCAGTGGAAGCGCCAGGATCAGCACCAGGCTCCAGCTGGAGCTCGGCGCTGATCCTGGCACTTCTGCTGAGCCCAGAAGAAGCACCGATCAGCTGGAATGTTGCAGCATCTCCAGGGTCTTGTGATTTATATTCAGATGCTTGGCAACTGATTCATATTTATGACGGTCACAGTGTCCCAGGGTCATGTGAAGTGACCAAAACCTGCTGCAACCACCCAGGAGTCGGGGGGGGACTAAAAACCAAACACCCCCCCACCCCCTCTGCCAATCCTCAACAGAAATGCTCACAACAATGAAAACCTCGGATAGGAGGAAGAGCGCCACCGGGTGGACAGGCAAGTATCTTGCTCGGCTGTGGCTTGGCGGGCACTTTTTTCAGTGCCATTCAAACAGTCACTAAGCGAACTGTTGTAAGTCGAGAACTACCTGTACTTTATCACTTTTTTTCTTCTTTTTTTGTCATCAAGTTTTTGACACCTTGCTAGGCGACTGGTGGTACTCGGATGTTGCCATATCCTAAAAGTGATACAATGGGTGAAAAGGTTGAAAAGCCCTGACCTATACTATACCTGTGCATTTGGTTTTTCTTGCCTAAAAGTAGAACCTTAGGTTTTTCACCATTGACAGATCCACTTAACAACCACATGATTCACTTAACAACTGCAGTGATTCATTTAACAAGCATGGCAAAAAAATCATAAAATCTGCCACGATTCACTTAACAACCACCTTATTTAGCAACAGAAATTCTGGTCCAAATTACAGTCATAAATAGACGACCACCTATATTTTACCAGCAGCTTAAGGAGAAACAGGGAAGGAACGGGGAAGACTCTCCTGACTGAAAAAGTATGTCCTACACTGAAAAATATGGAGTTGCTAGTTGAAATTCTACTGTTGTCTTCAGGTACACTTCTGTAATTACTTTGGATCTCTTGTAGATATAGTTTCTCAGAAGGGAGAGAAGATGAAATGGTTGCAAAATTACTTTCTTCCTATTTGCTAACTGGCATTAGTAGTGTTCACAAGAGACATGTTCCAAACACTCCAAGGTGTTTTTATTTTTTAGTTTCACTTGTGAATAAGCTCTAAGACTCATGCAGGGATCTGTATTGTCCATTATTTTTTAACACCTTTTCTTATTGGCAACTGTGTTTGAGGCAAAGAGTTGAACTAGCAACAATTAGATAGGATCTAGACAGGCAATAGGAGAAGATGCAGATGACAGATGGGCCACTGGGTCAGTTCTACCATTAGTCACACTGAGATAGCTGCATCAGATGTATATGTTGAGTATGAATGTCAAGTGAGAAACAGCAGTGCCCTGACTTCCGGTTAAGTGTCGCAGTGTGACAGATGCAGGAAGATGGGGCTCCATCTTCCACGTTCAAATTTGCCCCGTGGGGACCCTAAAAAGGGTCGAAAGTCACCCCAGAGAGATGATGAAGAAGAAGGAGACCCTTGTTGATCGCAGAGGAGTGGCACCCCTTCCACTGGATCTGAGGAAGCCCTCCAAACTGGTGGGGGAAAGATTGACTACATTCATGTGGCCAGAAGCTGCCAACAACTGAAGATAAGCACTAACTAGCAATTTTTGAGCAACCTGGATGGAACTGGGTGAGACTGTATCCTCTTTTTATGACCTTAATACTACTTTCCTGGAAAAAATAATGCCCAAAGCAAAGAATCTTCCCTGATGAGAGAGGGAAGGAAAGTTTTTGCCCTGCTCCCTCAGGAAAAGAAAAGTGGCAAATTAATTGCTTTGGGAGAAAATAGAGAAAACTACAAGATTAATTTGGAATTAATACAGATATATAGCTTTGAAATTTGGAGACTAAAAGTACCTTTGAGAATTTTTTTTAAGAAAAGATAATTGAAAGTCTGTAAAATAGGCTTGGATTTGGAAAGCTGGAAGATGGCATCAATGACATCTAGTGGTGAATAACAACACTACAATTTATTATGCTTAAAGGAAACTTGGCTTGAAGCCCAGACTTAGATAAGACTCTTTGTTGTTCCTGGAAACTTTCACTTTTACAGACTTCAGCTGGGAAAAGAGAAAGAAAAAACTCTTGGGCTGCTTATCTGTGTTTTATAAAACAAAATGGGTACTCCATACTTAGCCACAAATGGTAAAAAAACATCTTTAACACTTGTCTCCAAAGCCCCCAGCTTGATATACCAGCAAGAAAATGTTATTGAATCTCAGAAAGAAATTATTTCTGTATTAAAATCAATCCAAGAGACAATTGTTTTATTTCAAAATAACGCAAATGAGATAGAACAATTTTGTAACCTAAAGTTACAAATCCAGACAATGACTACAAAGAAAGAAATAGTAACCCAGAAAACAGAAGGAAAATTAGAAGAAACAGATCCAGAGATGGAGGACCTAAAGGAAGGAATTAATAGACAGATACAGACAAATGAAAAATTAGAAGATGCAGTGATAACACTGGAAATGGAAAATATATCTTACTTGTCAAGATCTCAGAACACATTTGAGGATAAGGAAGAAGAGCTGATTGAACGGATGATAAAGCTGTTAGGAGAAATGCTGAATATTGATAAAACAAGAAATGAAAAGAAAAACTGAAGAAGGACGGAATGAATATAAATGGGTTGAGCATTCTTCCAAAAATACTTCAATCAAATTATCTTCCTCATTCCAAACAATATATACAAAAACAGAGGAAGAATTACTTGATGATTCAAATGCACTGACTTGGAAAGTTATTTGGCAAAGGAAGAAAGCTAGAGTAAGACTGAAGAAAATAGAGGTTTTGACCTATTAGATGGGATATTATACTATTAAACAGATGTTTGAATATGGTTAAGAAAATAGATAACTATTAGAAATAAAAGTATTATTATAATTAGAAGGATAGGATTGGTAACTAGAATATTATACTCTGTTATGAGATGGGAAATATGAAAATTTTAAAAGAGCTTGAATAAGGGAAGCTTTTGGTTATTCAAATATAATTTATTATGAGAAAATTATAAGCGATAGAGATATTTTGAACATTGATGGGAAATTAAAATTTTTAAAAAGCGGGGAAAACAGGATATTCATTGAACAAATGGATTTTAAGAGCAAATATAATTGAGATATGTTCTGGCTAGAAAAGATATTATAAACTGACACTATGTATAATACCAGAAAAATGTGATGAAGATGTCTATATTTAATTGTATATGTATTAACAGTAACAAGAATTTTATTTGTGGAAAAATGCATACCACCAAAGGAAGAGAGGACCAAGGAAGCACTGGATGGTGTAGTATTGGAACTAGACTGAGAAAGTTAATATGTATCACTGAAGTATCAATAGACCCAGGCAACACTTTGTTTATTAAGTACTCATGATTGTAAAAATTGAAAATTAATAAA